GCAATTGGAATACACATCTATTTACAAAACAAACACAATAAAATTAATTTACACACACACACACTTTTATATATATATATATATATATATATATATATATATATATATATATTGTGGCATCTCCCTAGCCACGGTATCGCCGAGAATAAGGATCTGACTAGCCACAGAGTCGACAACCACTGTTTCACATATAAGCGATTCGCCCAATCAGAAAACTATCGTGTTTCAAGACATTGATCACATTAAATCAACTTTGTCAACGATATTTGCAAAGGAGTGAGATATGAAGAAAAGAAGAACAGGGACAACGTTTTTAATAATAATTGCATTTTGGTAATCGTTGTGACCAAGTAAATGGTTAAGTAATAACAACAACCAGGTTTACAGATATATCGTATATTAAAGAGTAAGTACACCAGAAGACTATTACACAACTAGTGAGAGTGTATCGAATGAACTAGCGCTCAATCTATTCGCTGTTCACCGAAATCTTCTGTCCTACTAATCTTATAGTAGGCGGAAGAGTCTAACATAGATTCTTTAGAGGGAGGACACCTCAAAAGAAATATAAAACACCATTTAAATGTTTTCAGAGCCTTCAAACTCTGAATTATCAAAGAGTATCTGATTATTATTGTTGTTATTTGGTAGTATTCTTTTATATGTTTTGCTATCCGAACCGGTATGATTATCTTGGTTGATATAGTCACAGTGTTTCGGCTTTTGTAACATCCAGTCTTCTTCGGCATTCGGCCTTCTTCGGCTTTATTCGGCTTTCTTCTCTACTAGGGTTTATATCAACTTATTCTGCTATTTAGGGTCACGAGACTTTCTTGATATATAAGCCAGCAGTAGGTGTTGATTCGGTGGTCTCTATAGCAAATAGGTTTATATGAGTTGGAGTTGTTAACCATGTCGACATATCGTTTGAGTATAGGGCCACAGCCGCACCACACTAGGTGTTGCTACGGAGCTTTCTATAATAAGTAGGTTTTATGAGTTGGATTTGCTTACTCTATAAACTCTTCTTTGCAGTATAGGGCCACAGCCTCACCACACTAGGTGTTGATACGGTGCTTTCTATAATAAGTAGGTTTTATGAGTTGGATTTGCTAACTCTATAGACTCTTCGTTGGAGTATAGGTCCACAGCCTCACCACACTAGGTGTTGCTACGGTGCTTTCTATAATAAGTAGGTTTTATGAGTTGGATTTGCTAACTCTATAGACTCTTCTTTGGAGTATAGGGCCACAGCCTCACCACACTAGGTGTTGCTACGGTGCTTTCTATAATAAGTAGGTTTTATGAGTTGGATTTGCTAACTCTATAGACTCTTCTTTGGAGTATATACTTGGAGTGTATACTTGGAGTGTATACTCTAGGTGTTTCAGTGGCTGTTTCCGTGGCGAGTAGTTTTTTTATGAGTTGGACTTGTTAGCCCTGTAGACTACTCTTTGGAGTGTAGGGCCACAGCCTCACCACTTTAGGTGTTGCTGCGGTGGTTTGTACGGCAAATAGGTTTTTAATGGTTTGAGGTGCCGGCTCCGGGCCCAACTGGTTTTTCATTTTAAATTGTCCTTCTCCTTGACTAGTTGCCAACCAAGGCTAGAAATTCCAGTTGACTCTGCTATTTAATCCATAGCTTACGGGGGGGGGGTTTGAAGCACATTCATACATTTCACAGTGGAATTTGTGAGAAAGTGACGCAATGACCTCAGGCCAAACTCGGCATTTTCAGCGCTAATAACCGCGAACTTTAAGTTCCCCAAAACATTGATTATGAATCTAATTAATTTGTAAAATATTTTGGACGTATCTTATTGTAAATTCTATTTATACTAATCTCTTATTCTTTCTGCTTTGAGATTTTTTGACGTGTCTCACCTTCCTCGTTTAATATTTGAATAGAGTCTTTCCTTTCTTAATATTTCTATTTGAAGGACACCTCACTACATGTCAATGGTTTGGCAATATTGCATAGCAGACCATGAATACTCTTTAGTATGCTTTACGGGTAACCCTATACTTTTGGCATTGTACCAGAGCAAGCCATTCTGGTTATGATGATAAATTACCTCCGCGTACTGGGTAAGACGATAACTACGTCCAACAGCAAGGCTTTTTGATCAGAAGGTTTTGAGGAGCGTGGAACCACCTCTTAATAGCTTGTGTTCCCAGGTCCACCAGGACCCGGGGTGGTAGCGCCTGTTAGGGTCCCAGCTATGGACAAATAGATAACCCGTAAATTGGGGTCAAAACATTATAAAAGTGTAAAAATAGATTTTAATACAAGAAATATTTTGTAAAATAATTATTACTAACAATACATATTTGAAAAACAAATATTAACAGCTATACATTTATGAAAAAAAAAAACAAAAAAAACAACAAATTACCAGCTATATATTTAAAAAAAAAATATTACCAGTGAAGGATAATCATTACCAGAAATAGATTTTTTGAAGGAAAATATTATCAGAAATAGATATTTGATAAAAAATATTACCAACAATGAAAAATTTATCAGCATTAAATAACCCTATTTACATTATTCGGACTATTGTCCTCATCTTTGTCGTTATATTTATCACAACGTTTCGGTCTTTGTACGCTCCGGCCTTCTTCAGCTGGTTGGAATTTCGAACTGAACCCTTTATTTCGCTCACTGGGGTAGACTGTTCTAGTTCCACGTGCCATGTTTGATGGATGTCAGTTATCAGTTATCTCCTGCTAATTTCCCTCTGAAAGTTCTCCACTGCCTTAACCGGGTATTGAGTGTGAGTTCAATACCCGGTTAAGGCAGTGAAGAACTTTCCGATGGAAATTAACAGGAGAGAACTGATAACTGACATCCATTAAACATGGCGGCCGAAACATTGTGATAAATATGAAGACAAAGATGAGGACAATAGTCCGAATAATGTAAATAATGTACATAATACCTCATCTCAGAAATATAGACAGATTAAATAACCCATTGAGGTTGATATGGCGTAAAACAAAAAAAACTAAAAAAAAAACAAAAAAACAAACCAAACCAAACCAAGCAGAGCAAGTTTATTAAAAACTTAAGAACCTCACTTTGAATTAATGGTTAAAAATCGAGTGTATCGTCAATTACTAATATGTAACGAGTTTGTTATTCATTGAGTATTATGGTGTTGTGCTAAAGAAAACTTATTAAATAGCTTGGGTACCTCACTTTGTGCTCATAGTTAACAATCGAGTCTAATCGCCATTTACTACAATTAGTGCAGAAAAGCGAGAAGAAAGGATTAAACATCAACTACAAGAAGACAGAATGCATGGTTGAAGCCAAAGTGTAAAGTTCAAATCGGAGATACCAAAATCAAACAAGTGCGGAAATGTAAATATTTGGGTAGTGTTTTAACAGAGGACGGAATGTGGGACATTGAAATCCGAAAGCGAATTGAGATATCAAAAGATGCCTTCCAAAAGCTAAGCAGAGTTCTAAGAAATAGAAAACAAAAAAAAAACTTCGTTAGAAACAAGGAAAAGTGTAACTAAACTGTTACGTGATATCTGTCCTCCTATATGGCAGTTAATTCCGGACAAACTCCTCACAGATGAAGAAGAGACTTGAAGCAACAGAAGGATGCTGGACATACTATGGTTCGAATATGTGAGTAATGGTTGAGTTTTAGAGAAAATGGAAACAAAAAGGCAAGTTATAATTAACATCAGAAAGACACAGTTGAGGTTTCTAGGGCACATAATGAGGACAGAAAGCTTGGAAAATCTGATACTCACAGGACGGGGTGAAGGCAAGCGAGACAGAGGAAAACGTCTTATAAAATATTTTGTGACCTTCAGTAATTGGATGGTGGAACAGGGTTTTTTTATGCATTTCACCCAGATCAATGTGGGAGTGTCACTAGCACGCAAAGGGTTACAGAGAGTGAAAGTAAGAGACAGAAGTGTCTTTTGAGGAAAGCGTAAAGAGAAAGACGGGGATCAAGATCAAGGTATCAGAAGATGTCGATTAACATTATATTTAAATTTTTAAAGATTATAGATATCAGGGAAGCAATTAAGAGGAAAGGAGTCACACTGTCGGGAAGTGCGAGAGAAGCACTGGGAGTAGAAGAGGAGGTTGCATTTAACTGTTTAGACAGTAAAAGGGTGGGACGGTGATACTAAACTAGTATAAATGCTTAAATTCCTGCAGTTGGGCACCAGTGAAAATAGTTCGTCAGAGCAGTTGCCATGAAACTATTTGTAGAAAAGACAGAGGGAAGCCACATCACGTCTGTGAGTAAGTGGCTGGAGTCGTGATGCCAGGTCAGGACTTATCACATTGACAGAAATAAAAAAAAAAAGTTTATTAAAAGGTACAAGGGACAGGAAATTGTGGAGAACCATGGTCGCCTACGTCCTGAGGGGTCATGTCACAAAAAGAAGAAGAACATTATTTACATTATTCGGACTATTGTCCTCATCTTTTTCGCCATATCAGTCAGAACGTTTCGGCCGTTGTACGCTCCGGCCTTCTTCAGGTGGTTGGAATGAAGAAGAAGTTTGTTAATCGTTAAATATCCAACATGGTGTTGTGCTAAAGCATGCTTATTAAATAGCTTAGGCATTACATTTTTTGTATTAATAGCTAACAATCTGATCGTCAATTACCACCGTGTAATAAATTTATGCTTCATTGAGTATCCAACACTTATGGTGTTTTGCAAGAGTTAGCATGTAATGTGTCTTCCCTGCCATTTTCGTGCTTATAACTGTTATATCTGTCTGCATTTTCACAATATTCATTAATGTCATGAAATTATTGATGTGAATTTCTTAATTTCCTCGACATCTCTGCAAATGTAACAAATATGCTTCAATTTCGTGTAGGTGTTTTGGCTTTCATTTTTGTTTGACTTAATTATTCATTTGTTTTTTGTCTTTTTTCCTTGTTTTATTTTTGTACTTTTCGTTAAATTTCACAAGTTCGTGAAATGAACTTTGTATACTGTCAGTAAAACTTAATGCTGTCGACACGACCTGACAATCATGGAAGAAAAGCTGGTATTATTTTTTCTCCCTTCCAAACAGTATTTATTTATTCTGTTTGTTTCTTTTCTTTCAATTTGTTTTTCCCTAAGTCACACTTGCACATGATTAAAGAAATAAAACGCAGATTGGAATGCCAAATATATAAGGGAATGGAAGGGGAAAGTGAAGAGGCGTGGTATTTATGCAGAATAATGTTGAACTAAATGCAGCAATGTTTTGTTTCCCAGCCTTGTCGCACTGAGCAACAGAGGGCCATTAATACTACGACATAGTTCATTCCCTTGTCGTTCTTTTGCATGAGCTGATCGACAAGGTTCATTTCAAACTCTTTCTACTTTTAATCATTAAACTATTTTTCGTTCCATATTTTTCTTTATTGTGTTTTGTTCTTTCAGATTTTCCCGCCTCTTTTCGCCTTGCTTTTTCTTCGTTTTTTTTTCTTTTCTTTTCCTTTTTGTTCCTTCATATTCTTCTTTGATCTCTTGCTCTTTGTTTATCTTCATTTTTTTTTTTTACTTCCGCTTTGTTTTTTATCATCGTATCGTTGTCTTTTCTTCCTATAAGGATTTTTCATTGTTTTCCTTTTTAAACAGACCTCTTTTTTTCGTTTCATCTTTTTGTTATAATCCTTTAATTTTCATTCTTTGTCAAAATTTCGTACACTCTTTCTCTTTTCGTTCTTAGAGAATTTCTGTTCCTTTCTTGTCATTTATTTTCTCCTTTCTCTTCGTTTTTCTTAAAATTATCTCATTTCGATCTTTCCTTCCTCGCATTGTTTTTTAATACACATTTTCTTTTAATCAATTTTTTAAAAAATCTATTAGTTTTTGTATTCTTTTTGTTTTTTACTTTCTTCGCCTTTTTCCATTTTGTCTTTAATCATTCTTATTTTAACATTACATCTTCATATTCATTCCTTTAGTCGTATTCGACTCCTTCATCCATGTTCTTTAGTCCTTGCATTGACCTCTTTCAGTTCATTGGTTAATCTCTTTCATTTATTTCGTTCATCTCCTTCATCTCACTTATTTCAACTCCCTCATTTCATTCATTCATCATTTGTTTAAGTTTCTACGTTCATATCCCGGAATTCATTCAATCATTTCCTCCATTTCTGAAATTTCCTTCATTGATATTTATTTCCTTCCTTTTTCTCTATTTCATTTATTCATCTCATTCAATTCTTTTACGTAGTTCTTTCATTCGTTTCCTCCATTTTTATCCTTCAAATTTATTTCCTTCATTTGTTTTATTTCTGTTTATGATAGAATTTTATTCTTTTTAAAAACATATTTTTATTTTATCTATTTTGCATTCCATTACTTTTACACACACACATCTATCTATCTATCTATCTATCTATCTATCTATCTATCTATCTATCTATCTATCTATATATATGTATTCTTTCATTTTTCTTCATCTTTGACATTAGATTTCTCCTTCATCGCTTACATTTAATTCTTGTCTTTTTCAGCTTCTCATTTAATCTCTTGGTTGCTTCTTCGTTTTCGTTTTTTTTTAACTTCATTTTTTTATTTATTTTTTTAAAACCGTCTTTCTCTTTTTTTACTGATTCTTTAAAAAATATTTGCTTTTTTCTTTGCTTCTTGAGTTTATCTTTTCTGTTTCATTTTCTTATCTTTTTGCGGGTGGGGTTTATATACTTTCCTTCTGTTCTGTTCTTGTTGAAATTTTGTATTTCCTTCTTTTCTTTTCTTCTTGAATTTCTTTATTTCGATTGCATTTTCTCTTCATTTTAACCCTTTTTTTAATATTTTTCCGTTTTAAAATTTTTAGAATTCCTTTCTTCTCTTTCCATTTCCTGTCAAATTTCCTTCTTATAACTTTTTCTCCTCACTTACTCTTCTTTCTACCCTTTTCCTTCAGTCTCCATTTTATTTTCCTTTTGTGTCTTTCAATTGTCACCTCTTCCCCCCTTTCTCTCATAATATATTCATTTCTGCCCCACTTCTTTCTTCTATTTCATTTCAGTCGCCTTTTCTAAACCGTATTTCTTTCCTCCTTTCTCTTTTACCTCATGTTATTCTTTTCTATCTTTCTTTTTCCTTCAGCGTTCAACTCCTACCTCTTTTCCTCTCACTTTCCCTTACAGCGTATTTATTTCCACCTCATCCTTTCTCTCTTCCAATTCCCTTCCTTCTTTATTTCATTTTTTTGTCTCTTTCAACTCCAACATCTTCTCTTCCCACTTTCTATTATAGCATATTCATTTCCACCTCGTCGTTTCTCTCTTCCAAGCTCCCTCCTTCTCTAAATTGCCTCTTTCAACACCAACATCTTCTCCTCCCACTTTCTATTATAACATATCCATTTGTGTGTCATCCTTTTTTTCTACTCCTTCTCTATTTCATTTTTGTTGCCATTTTCAACACACGTCTTCTTTCGCTTTCTCCTTTAAAATTAATAATTTCCCTCTCTTCTTTTCTTTGTCTTCCATTTTATTTATCTTCTCTCTCTTCTCTTTATTCTACCCTCCTTAAGATTAAGTACCTACACCTCTTCCTTCTTTTGCTTCTCCACCTCCCTAGTTTCAATTATCCCGCCTCTACCTCCTCCCCCTGCTTCCCATCATCTCCTTCCTCTTCATTTCAACCACCTCCTCCTCACGTTCTTTCCTTACTCTTATTACTCCTTACACCTTTAGATATCGTTTCATCACCCAATTATTTTCATCGTCTGTCGTCGAAGCTAAGTTCTGATGTACAAAACAAAATAATATTCTCTTCAGCTATTTATTATAAATAACTTTTGGCAACTTGAGAACTGGTTTCATGACAAAGCATTGTTAGAATTCCTTTGATTGACTTAAACGCTGAACGAAGATTAAAACAAGAAATTAATAAATTAATAAATTATTATAATATAATGGAAGAGTCATTTTCTTTTGAATATTAATCTTGCGTGTATTTAGTTACCTGTGCTTTCCTTTCATATTTTCCGAATAAGACGTTGATTTAGTGGCCTTTGGTGCCGTTTTACAGAGAGTACCTCTTTACAATGGACATCGTGTAGGATTCTGGCGGGAAATTATCTAAAAATATTGATAGCAACTTGTTGATTTGGTGTTGCTAGCAAAAAGACAGTATTATAATACTTCGATATTAAATGTACTCTAAATTTAATATCTCAAAATCCCAGTTAATTAAATTCAGTAACCCCATTTTAAAGAATAAAACGTTGATTTGGTGTTTGCTGTAAAAGTTTCGTTTTATAATGAATCCTGGTTTTGGCTGGATTTCGTGTAGGATTCTGGCGGGAAATCATTTTAAAATTTTGATTGTAACTTTTTAATTTGGCGTTGTCTGCAAAAATCATCGATTTTATTATAAATATTTTTTATAAAACGAAATCGACACAATAAAATTTGCAAATGATTAAAAAATTGATTTACTTTTAATATGTTTAACTTTATTACAAAGAAGAAATATCCATTTTTGTCGCCTCTGGTTTTTTTTCTTTATCCCAAATATCTTTACAATCAATGAAGTACCCCACATTTTTACGGGTGTACCATTTACTTCACGAACGGCAATACATCACCATCTTGTATGATTACGTTTTGTTAACTTGTAAAAATGTTCCCTAGAAAGCGAAATTAGAAGTCTACCTCCGTGGATTAAATAAAGGGTTACTTATTGAATAAAGGAGGATCGAAAAGGCTACCAAGTACTGAAGAAGATCTGTGGGTACAACAATTGAAACGTTGTGAGTATTACAAGCAAGACGAGTTTGGCGAAATTTGAATGATGCTTATTGGCTGGCATCAATAAGCTAATTGTTATGATTAGGTTCCTAAGACGTGTTAGCATATCAGTAAGGGCAGGTTCCTAAGACAATTTATATGCTAATCGGTAAGTGTAGTTTCCTAAAAGGATGACTGCAAGTTCAAATCTTAGTGGGGACTTATTCCAAATTATGAGGCATAAGGTATTAACTGACCTTGCTTCATTTCAGAAATAAAAATTTCTACCACTAGCATTAATAATTTGAAAATGCATTCCTATAATTTTTTTTTTTTTTTTTAAGCATTTCACTCCAAGCAAGGCGGGAAGCCACTAGGACGCAAGGGGTTACAGAAAATAGGAAGATCAGATAGGAGTGATAGAAGAAAGGATGAGGGTAGTAGATAGATTAAGGCAACTGGAGATGTCGATTGACATTACACTTGAATAGCTGGAGATTATAACTCTCAGGGAAACAGGAAAAGGGAAGAGAGTTCCACAGGCGAGAGGTGCAAGACATGAAGCTATTAGAGTAGAAGAGACGGCTACATTTAGGAGTTTCGACAGTGAAGGGGTGAGAGCGGGATGCCAGCCTCGTAGGGCGCTTGAACTCATGAAGTTTGGGAACCAGCGAATGCAGTTCCTCAGAGCAATTTCCATGAAAGTATTTGTAGAACAGACAGAGGGAGGCGACGGTGCGTCTGTGAGAAAGTGACTGTAGACGAGACGCCAGGGCAGGGCCAACCATATTGCATATCCGCTTCTGGAGCCTGTCAAGAACCCTGAGGCAAACAGAAGGGGCGCCAGACCATATATGGCAGCAATACTCCATGCAAGGGCGAATTGTGGATTTGTATATCTGGAGGATCGACTCAGGGAGAAAAACTTCCTAGCACGGCTCAGGAGCCAACTTTCCTCGCAGTGGACGAGGCAATTGACTCGATGTATTTATTCCATCACAGGTCAGCAGTCAACGTGAGACCGAGAAGCCGCAGAGAGTTGCTCTCGAGAAGTTGAGCGTCAGACATTCTAATGGAGGGAAGGAAGGCTCTCTGTGGTGATTAATAGAGAGCAGTTTTGTCTTCGAAGCGTTGAAGTTGACCAGCCAAATCATGCCCCAGTTCACAATCGATTGGAGGTCCTTTTCGAGACGCACGGCAAGGTGAGTTTTGTCAGCGAGACTGGATTTGTTTTTGAGGCAGGAATAAATTGTGGTGTCATCGCGTAGATGCCGACTTGAGAAGTTACGGCGTCAGGAAGGTCATTTATATAGATAAGGAATAGAGTGGGGCCTAGGATGGAGCCTTGAGGAACACCTGCGTTCGTGAGATAGGAACTGGAGGAGAATCCGTTGTGAACGACCTTCAATACACGGTTTGACAGGAATTATTGTATTACGTTATATAATCGACCCGTAAAATCCTTTGTAATGGATTCCTCTTGTAGAATAAAAACAATTTGTAATATGGTTTCTATCGTCATTCGTCTGACCTGGGATAAAACTACAATAGAAATCTTTACTAAAACTCCTATTTATCATGTGCATTCAGGATGTGGGCGATCATGGCTTTCCATAATTTCTTTTGTAGCCCTTAATTAAGTTTTTCTTCTTGGTATCTCTCCTAATACTTGTTCTGGCAACCATTTACACAAGATTATTAGGTAGATTCTGCATTTTTTTCCTATGTTCCACTTACTTTCAGTATGTCCCGCGAGTGCCAAATTTTCTAAGCCCTCTTTCCTCATTATGTTCTCTGGGAATTTCAATTGTCTCTTTCTGAGTGTAAGTATAAGTGTTCGTTTTGTTTTCATTTTCTCTAAAACGTCGTCGTTGCTCATATGGCTTGTCCATAGTATCCTCAGCATCCTTCTGTAGAAACATATTTCTGTTACTTCATCTGTGATGAGATGGCCCAGCATTCAAAATCATAGAGGAGGACCGATATTACATAAGAGTTCAGTACTCTTTTCTTTGTTGCTAACGATACTTTTCTGTTTCTTAATACTTTGCTTAGCTTTTGAAAGGCATCTTTCTTGATCCCAATGCGCCTTCGGATTTCGGTGTCGCAATTTGCCCTCGATTAAAACACTTCTAGATATTTAAATTTTTGCACTTTTAAAAATGTTGGGATCACCAATTTGTAATTCTTATGTTGGACTTTTTCTTTTAATGACAGCCATGCATTCTATCTTCTTATAATTACTGTTTAGTCCTTTCTTCACACTTTCATTTGCTACTGTTACTATAGTTTCCTTTCCGTATCCGCTATCAACACTGTGTCGTCTGCATATCTAATATTGTTAAGATTGTGGCAGCCATTAATGAATCCTAGTAAAACTCCTACTTATCTTGACACTGAAGAAATCATGGGAAAATTAGATTTTTACCAAAACTACAGTTTCGTCTTGTGTATAAGGGTTTTCATTTGATAGATTTTAATAGTATATTTCTGTGGAAAATCTGTACAAAAAAAGATATTTTCTTTTACATGAACTATATATGTTTTTTCAGTCTAAAAAATAGAAGATAGTTTTCTTAAGCAGTTAAGTTATTGCATTTTGAATTTTATATTTGAGTCAGTAAATGTGAATCTGATATCATAGCCACCAGCAAATATGGATGTATATATGCATTTATGTTCGTTTATGAATATAAGAGACAGATCTTTCTATATGATAGTGAATGTTGGAAAACTTCCTCACAGATGACGAGAGAACGCGAGGCAAAATATATGTGGTTCTACAGAAGGATGCTGAGAATACCAAGGATGAAACATGCGAGCAATAAGTAACTTTTTAGGAAAATTCCAACAAAAAATTAAGCGAAAAGAAAAGTCTAGCGTTCAATTGTAAGAAGACAGACTGTATTGGTTTTTTGCAAAAGAGGCGACCCAAGAGGCGAGCTACGAATTGGAGACACCAGGATCAAGCACATACATAAATAAATTTAACTATCAGGGAAGTATTATAGCAGAGAACGAAAATGTGACACAAATATTAAGTAGCAGTTTAGAAAAGAGAATGATGCCTTTCAGAAGCTAATCAAAGTATTAAGAAACAGGAAAATTTTGTTGGAAACAAAGAAAAAGCCTTGAGCTTCTATTCATGTAGTTCTTCAGGGCGATGATGAGAATATTATGAAGGAAGCATGTTGTTATGTACCGTACCTAGGAACACTATCAGATATGTCCCAATCTCCATAAATACGTTGAACACTATTGTAAGTGGGGGTAATATGCTGTTTAAGTAGTCCACCACTAGAAGTGGTTTACCTACTTCACGCCGCTGGCGAGTATTGTATTTTGTTGATGTTATAAAGATTATCATTTCATTTCCAACCTCCGCTTTGGTTATTCCTCATTTAGTAACCCTTTCTACGTTACAACACATGTGATCAACGAGGAATGTTTTAATGGAAATAAAAAGTAGACTTAGAATCGGGAAGAGTCAATCAAACTTTCTGGCTTGGAGAATGTAACACTCCCTGAACACATTGGTGGCAAGAAGGACAGAGTGAAGCAGCGACTAATCTATCTAACGACTTTGTTTAAATAAATGGTAGAACAGAGATTAGGATACATAAACGACAAACCTTACTAAGAGCTATAAAGGGCAGAAAATTGTGGCGGGCTATGATCGCCTACATCTTGACGGAACACGGCCCATAGAATAAATTTTCAAATTTTTTGATAGACCTGTTGACTCAATACACAATGTTATTTGGAGTTAAACTGGGTGGCAGACTAAGAGGGATAATAAATAAACAAATATTTATAGGAAGGAAGTTGTGGAGAACCATGGTCGCCTACGTCCTAAGTGAAAAGTTCACATAAAAGCAGACCAAAACATTCGGACAGTTTTCATAATCATAAAGTCGACATACGTGATTTTCTAAAAGATAGCTTTCAAAAGTGTTTACATTGTGTTATCCGTCGATTCTGGGACTATGGATCTTCGCCTGGATATTTTTTATTGTTGCTGGTGACAGCGCAGCATCTGTTTTACCAGTCGACCACAACCCATTTGACATTGTACTCTCCTAACAACCAACACACTACCTACAGTATGTCCAGTTAAACTAAAGTGATCATGCTGTTAAAAAACACGAAACCAGTTTCACCTCGTAAAGAACTAGTAGGTATTTATGATGAGCAACTGAAAAGACTTGAAGTGACCCTGATACGCTTCAAACGTGTCAAATGCGGTACTAATGTTAATGTTGGCCACTGAAAGACTGAATGATATAAAACAAACATACCACATGAGTATCATCGGGTGGCAAAGTTTGGACCATTTGAATCTTGTATGGAAACATTTTTAAAGTCAGTCTCAAAATATTTTGAAGCGATGATCTTGCGATGCTTAGTTCAGCAGAGCGACGACAGTAGAAGCTGACGGATCCTCAAGGTCACTTTTGGCCTACAGCTTCCACCGCTACATCAGTGAGCACAATGCGTTTAGGACCTCTTCGCGCTGATCTTAGGACATCTTCCGAATGATCTTAGGACCTCTTCCGAATGATCTTAGGACCTCTTCCGAATGATCTTGGGACCTCTACCAACTGATCTTAGGACCTCTTCCGAATGATCTTAGGACCTCTTCCGATTGATCTTAGGACCTCTTCGCAGTGACCTTAGGGCCTCTTCCGACTGATCTTAGGACCTCTTCCGACTGATCTTAGGACCTCTTCCGACTGATCTTAGGACCTCTTCGCACTGATCTTAGGACCACTTCCGAATGATCTTAGGACCTCTTCCGACTGATCTTATGACTTCTTCCGACTGATCCAGTTATTTCAAACCGGGCGAATAGTTACCGAATCATAATTATCGCTGAGAGATAGTCTGACATTAAAATGTTGCTGGTATTTTCTCTGAGATTGAATAACTCATCTTTCATTGAAATAGAGAACTCAATGAGTTTTACTTGTTGCTGGATATTATACGCTGCTATTCTAATCTTCAAGGATTGCTCTATAATCTCCAAAAATTAAGATAAAATAAAAAAGATTGAAAACAAATGTTATGACCATTTTAAACTCTTCCGTTTTACAATGGCCACCCTATACAAGCGAAGACATTTTTAATGTCAGTGTTTCATGTTTTTAATCAATGATAATTATGCAGCTTTTCCTTTTGTTTATATATGCAATAAGAAATATATGGAGTAATGGATAGCGGCTCGGATTGAAGAATCGGAGAGCCGAGTTCGAATTCCAGTCGAATGCATTACATTCACTTACTTACCTCTACTTCTCCTCCCGCCCCCAAGCTATATAAATAGCAGGACAAACCAGGTTCTATAGCCTTGTATGGCAACTGATCTACCGGAGAAAGAGATGGCAACCTACTGCGCGGGAAAATTATGCCTCGTCAGTCATGTAACGAAAGATACATGATCGACTAAGCGTGTATCACGCATGGCACATAACTGACTGACTGCCAGCGACTTCCGACATTTTATTGCCGGCCACTTTTATTACCTTTCATTTTTTCTCTCAAATCTCTTTTTGTAACAATCTTACAGTTAGTTTTTACCTTTGTATTTAATTTCTCAATGTTTTAAATCTATTTTTTGATTGTTCTTTGATCTCTGTTTAACTTTTTCACAATTTCCAATATTGTGTTCCCATCTTTCAATAAGTACAAAATTTTGTTTTTAGTTTTGTGGTCATATCTCTCTTATCGCCGATATTAATATTTTTTTTTCCTGCATCATTAAAAAAAAATAGCAATGACTTTACTAACATGTATATTTATTTGTAATATGATAAACAACCTTTGATAAGAAAATCTTACATAACAAAACATTTTATTGTAATTTTTTTCTAATACTAGCCAAATATTCGTTCTACGAACAGAGAAAATTAAGTTCATAAAAGATTTCTCTTTTCTTTATTAAAATTTCTGTATAAGCAATATTTTCCGTAAGACACATTCTCTAATTTTTTTTTTCATTGTGCTAAATCGACTTGAATGTTGTGCTCTAGAGAAAAAGGAAGAGTCCTACGTGAACGTTACACATTATCAAACAGGTTCAACAAATTAGTGAGAAGCGTATGGATAGAGGACGGAAAGTGCAACACGATAGAAAAAATGCCTTCTAAAAACTGAGAAAAGTATTAAGAAACAGGAAAATATCGTTAGAAACAAAAGAGTACTAAATTCTTATGTAATATCGGTTTTCTTATATGGCAGTGAATGCTGGCTAATCTTATCACAGATGAAGAAGAGACTTGAAGGAACAAAAATGTGGCTCTACAGAAGGATAATGAGAATACCATGAACGACGAAGATCTAGAGACAATGGTAACAAGAAAGGACGCATAACATCAGGAAGAGACAGCGGAAATTTTTGGGGCAGATAATGAGGAAAAAAGGTTATTTACATTATTCGGACTGTTATCCTCATCTTCATTGCCAAGGTTTCGGGCGTTGTACGCTGCTTACCCTATGTGAAAGAATTATCGGAGAAGATACAAAAGATCAAAACACTTTGCAGACACCTCTTTCGAATAATAAGGAGTGCTAGAGAAAAGTAATGAATATAAACGCATAATTGCAAGATAAGCTCTTGTAAAAAAATATGCAATAATAATAACGGAAAAATTGCAATATGAACACTGGTAAAAAATGATTACTGAGACATTAGGTTTATAAGTCTCAGGAATTTATACACAGATCTCCTCAGAGACACATAGCTCAGTAGATAAAGACGTTGATTAGATCGAGTGACTAAACTCAAAGAGTTGTGAGTTCAATACCAGGTTGCTGTTTTGTAGCTTGGAGGGTTCAGTTAAAGTGAAATAACTGAAACATCCGGAAAAGGCGAAATAGAGGGTTCGATACGAAGTTCCAATCACCTGAATAAGGCCGCAGCGAATGGCGATGAGGATAACAGTCTGAATAAAATAGTCATAATACCTCATCTCAGATTGGAAAATTGGATACGTTATACGTAATGAATTTAATAGCAATTTTATTGTGAAAATATTGAATTGCATAAAGCAACTATTAGATATTAAGCAAGATAGGAAGATTCGAAGGAGCTGCAATATTACTATAGGGTCCGCTAACCAATGATATTCTTGTGGCCGTATTCGTTAAGGCGACTCTTTAAAATAGAAGCTCAGTAAATAAGGACGCAAATGCTGGTCTCACGAGAAAATAAATCAGATCTGGGATGTTAGAATAAAAGATAAAGACTGAAATTACTAATGAAAATACTCATAATTCAAGTAATAATTTAAGATGTCCCAGGGAACTTTGGATGTGCCGAAAATCAAGCCTTATTGGTTGCATGATTTGGGAAGTTGCAATAGAAAGTGGATGACTGGTGGAAAATTAAAGTGAAAGTAGTCATAATTCAAGTAATAAGTTTAATATGTCCCCCGAAGCTTTCAGTGTACCGGAAATTGTGATTTAATGGCTGCATGAAGTTACAATATAAAGAAGAAAGAATGGACTGATGGAAAATTAATAAAGAAATGCTCCTAATTCAAATAAGATGTCCCATGAAATTTTCAGTGTGCCATAAATAGAGCTTTACTAGTTGCATGATATTGGAAGTTGGAATAAGAAGTTGAAGACTGGTGGAACATTAATAACGAAAATACTCATAATTCAAGTGATAACATAAAATGTCCCACGAAGCTTTCGAGGTGCCGGAAATAGAGCTTTATTATCTTGAAAGTTGCGTAATCTTAGAAGTTGCAATAAAAATATAAAAAAACGGACTGGCGAAAAAATATTAATGAAATACTCCTAATTCAAATGAGTTAAGATGTCTCATGAAAATTTCAGTGTGCCGGAAACAAAACTTTTTAATTATCTTGGAAGTTGCATGATCTTGTTAGTTACAATAAAAAGTTGAAGAAAAGACAGACAGAAAATTAATAATGAAAATAATCAAAATTTAATACCTTAAAATGCCCCACGAAGATTTCAGTGCGCAGGAAATAAATTTTAATTTGTCGCATGATCTAGGAAGTTGCGATAAAAAAGATGAGGACTGGTGGAAAATTAATAATCAAATACTCTTAATTCAAATAACAAGTTAAAATGTCCCATGAAACTTTCGGTGTGCCGGAAATTTTGTTTTATGATTGCATTTGCTTCCTCTTCATGCTACCTTGTTTCTCCCGACAAGTGTTCATGGAGTTAGGTTTTCTGCTTTTATTTATTTGATCTTTTTCGATACCATACGCGGAAGCAAACGTTTCTGCCATTATTTCGAGCATCCCAGCTTTTGGGTTCTTTATTGTTTTTTTTTTTTTTTTTTTTGCAACGATGGTGCTTTTCATTTTTTTTGCCTTTATGTTATTTATCTTGGTGCTGATTCCAAGGTTTGATTCTGGACATTTTTTTTCTCTCTCTCTCTCATGTTGATCGGTCAGAAGGGACAGAACTGAGAAGAAATTTGTATAGTTTCTTATGGTCAGGTAAAATATGTCATCAACCTTCTTTTTTTTTTCTTCTCCTTTCTGGTTTCTTTTCTTTGTCCAGCTTCTATAAACTGTCGAAAAAGCACTCAGATTTACATTAGCTTCACCTCTTGTGACAAGCCACAGGTCACAGACCATGGAACACTACATATCAAGAGAATGCATAGCGCTGTGGTATAACCAAATGCTCAGGATACTTAGAACAAAGCTATTTTTTTTCTTGAGATACGTAATAGTAATATTATCTGTTTCTCTATAAAGAAACATATGGCATTCATTGACTGAGCAGCCAGTATTGTTTTCGGTTGAAATTTATAAAATCTTTCACTTAAAACACATTTTTTAAGAAAACATTCTTAAATTCATTAGCTTTTGTCACTATTTCCAGAATAAATGAGGGTTTCCTTCCAAGATTTCTATTTGAAGTGAAGTGGAATGTTAACATTTTGATTATTATTTTCTCTTCGAGTTAATATGTGCTATCCATTTTAGTTGTTGCTGCTGTCGGAAGTCCTTGAATGTTATGATTTCTGTTATTTGGTACAGTTCTTTGTGATTCTATAGCGCCAGTCTTCAAAGAAGGATGATCTTTGTCAAGTCACTTAGACTTTATTCGCTCAAAGCTTTTTTTTTCCGCCATTGTTCTTAGGAAGCGGATGTATAGAGCTGACAGTTTAGATATTTCTGAAGTGGTCTGTCACCATGCATGGCACCCAAAATGAATAATTGAGAAATGAGACATCAAAATCTGGGCAGGATTTGCACACCGATTTCTGTTTGCTTTACTTAACAAAACTACATAGAGCAAAGGTGTTTAGCTCAAAACTCCCGGCATACATATATATGTACTGTCCCCTTTTGTATGCATGGGGCCGAGTGGTTAGAACGTTTGCATTTTGACCATGAGACCAGGGTTCGAACCTCACCATGGTAGATTTGTCAGAAAGGGGACTTCCTGATGTTATCAGACTGGAGGGGTCGATCCCAACATGCGGTACCTTTGAAAAGTGCATGAAAACCATACCACGGGTTGACCCAAGCCTTGTGAGTGAAATTGGGTTAACGGAACCCTTGTGGGCCGTCGATAGCTGTGCTAGCACAAAGTAACAAGTCATCATGACCGAGGTTTTGAGTGTGCTGGCCTTGTTCAGATTGTTGATCACGCTAGATAACACACTCTTTCCCAGAAACTAATTAAGGTCTGCTCAGCATAGTTGCAGTATAAACCATAGGTGGGCTCTGTGGGTGTTGAATAAACACAACTGCGCCTGAGCAAGCGTTTGCCATAGGGATTTGCTAACCGCCTAGTAGACAGGTATCCTTGATTACGAGTGGTCAGCTATACTACTGTGTCCTTTTAGGACGTGGGTGATCATGGCTCGCCACAACTTCCTGTTGCTCGAAATAATACTTAGACACCTTCGTCCTTGTGTTTCTGTTTACATAAACACGTTAAGCAGATTACTCGCTTTTTCGTTCTGCTTCTCTGGCATTCTGCATACGTTGTGAGTGTCACATTTTCCATGCTTTCTTTCCTCATTATGTGGAAGATCGCCGAAGTAAAGCAACGTCGAACCTGGTCGGTACTTAGATGAGTTACCGCTTCGGAATACCAGGCGCTGTAAGCTTAGATGTGCAGGTGGTGTAAGGTATAATGGCTCAGAATCAAAGAGCCGAGTTTCAATTCCCGCTGGGTTCGTTAAATTCACTTACGCGCAAATACACTTGAGAAAGGAATGAGTTCACCTCTTCTCCCCAAGCTATGAGTTAATTAGTAAGACTTGTATCACAAAAAAAATAAAAATAAAAATAAACATTACTATCTAAAAAAATATGTACAAAATATTTAGATTTCGACATTAAATAACCCATAGAGGTTGATATGATACTAAACAACCAACTAGACATTTTCCTCATTATGTGCCCCAGAAATTTTAACTGTCTCTTTCTGATTGTAAGTATACGATACCTTGCAATCATGTGAACGAAGAAAAACTACTCTAAACTGAAGTGCCAAAGAAAACTCCCCCACCCACACACCCCGACCTCGAAAATTTAAAGTATTAAAAATTTGAAGAATATGTTGGTGTTTTTCTAGTGGAATTCTAAATAATAATAATCCGGATCTGCGATAACGGAACATCTAATAAATAATTGCCAATGTCCGATCTCTTACAATAGGGATATATTTTCAGATGTAAGCCGGGCGCATTCATATGTTCCTTTTATAGTTTCAGAGACAATATATATTAAATCGTTACAGTCACCCTTCTTTCTGTAAACAGGAGTGGATTTGGGGTTTCAATGTGATTTGCTTCTTTTATGATTTATATTAATATATTGGTATATTATCTATATATAATACATGTGAATGTCAGTGTGTCACACATTTTCAACTTACTCCTAGAGACGGTAGACCAACATATCATGCCATTTTGGAATCAGGCTGACTCCGAGAACAATTTAAAAACATTCCGGGCCGTATTCGAACACGGAATCCTGAATTTTGGCCATGCCAAATTTTGAGATTGTTTTCGGCGATTTTGTATTTTTTTTTTTTTTTGCGATAATTTTTTTTGTACGCTAACAATTTTTATAACTTGGTAATAAGTTTGAGATTAATCGAAATTACTTGCGAAATCCAGCGAAAGTCTCCCATGAAATAAAAATAATTCTTTGTATGGAAAGTAAGAACCTACGTACATTAAACTGTCTTTAAATTAAATGGCGGCAGAATTATCGTTGAACTTTTAAAAGGTAATTTTAAATATTAATGCAATAGTTAGATGCAGCGATCAATTTTGAGTTCTTCGGTAGCTTATTTTTGCCTATTGCATTTATTCCTCTCCACCTGTTGTGATGAAAGCCCAAATAAAGACCTCTCCACAGGAGAGTTTGCTTAAATGCCGCCTGATAGGGCAGTTTTTAAGCTAGTCAAACATAAGATGAAAAATACCGTAGTTGATAGCATATTAGCCTAATTTTCCGCAATAATGGCTTCAGATAACTTTCGTGTTTTATATGTGTATTTGAAATCTCTGACGGGCTATAGTTTACGCGGATTAATAGTGCACTGGCTACTCGGCCAATGAATGCCGCATATTTAATTATAAAGAAAGAGCTAATGTTACTATTAACATTATTACTGATCTGCTAAATTATGGCGCCTCTATTTCTCGTTATGTTTCTTATAGATTTCAACTGTCTCTTCTTTCAAGTCTCTTACTAGTCTATGTTTAGACGAGAGACATCTATTAGTTCCAGCAATTCAACTGTATACAACCACTTTCTCAGAACAAGGGTTAAAAATGGCTTCGAGCGAGTGAATCGCTCATGTCTCAGCGAAGCTTATCCATCCTCGAACGTCGTGAACTGGGCCTACAGATCAACAAAGAAATATGCAAGATAATAGAAGATATATCACTTGAGGACTTTCAACGGCAGCAACAACTAAAATGGATTTCACATGAAACTTGAAGGGAGAATAATGACACTATTTAGATTATTCGGACTATCGTCCTCATCTTTGTTGCCATATTTATCACAACGTTTCGGCCACAGAAATCTCATGAGCCGACCAAGCATAGAAATGAATACAATATGGGAACCAGTCAATAAGGAGTACCAGAGAAAAGCAATTATTAAATTCGAAAATTGCAATATGAGCTTTGGCAAAAAAAAAAAAAAACAAACAAAAAAAAAACATGCCATGATAACAGCAAAAATTGCAATATTAGCACTGGTAAAAATGGTTGCTGAAGACATTAGGTTTATAAGTACCAGAAATTAATACACAGATGTCCTCAAGGACACATGGCACAGTGGATAAAGGCGTTAGTTACATCCAGTGACAGGACCCAAAAAGTGTGAATTCAATATCTGGTTAAGGGGATGGGGAACTTGGAGAGGAGAATTAACGGGATATAACTGACATTCCACACGACCTCAAACAAAAGGCATGGAAGGAAACCCCTATCTATACTGGAAAGAACTATAATAGCTAGCGAATTGAAAAAAAGTGTATTAAGAGAAAGATTTTATAAATTTCAGTCGAAAGCAATATTGTCTACTCGGTCAATGCATCCCAAATATTTCTTCGTAGGGAAACGGCTAATATTACCATCAATATTGAAGGTGGCAATCTTTATAGTAGCCAAAACTTAATAAGGATACCTGAAATATTCGGCAAATAATGTTATTTACTTTAAATAAAAACATATATTGAGAATAATCTTTTGAATTTGCTTGGGATTGAAAGATTTTTTACGTCTTATCAACACTTCGTGGATTATTTAAAGCCGAAACATATTTTTGGATCATAAATCATTATGTCGACCTTATTATTTTTTAGAATAACAATGATTTTCTTTTACAAGTCCTACTATTTAGCCCATAGCTTGTGGGAGGAGATCATATTTTTCCCAGGGGCCTTTGCGCGTAAGTGAATGTAACGAATCCGGTTGGAATTCGAACTCGGCACTCGGATTTCTCATTCCGAGTCGCTATCCATTACAGAATCTGCTTGGGAAGCAGACCTGTGAAGAGACATGTTGATGAATTTCTGTTACTATTCCCACCCAGATTTCCTTGATCTTCGACTACAAAGTTCTGTTCGCCTCACCCCGGTAAAAACCTAGAATGCATGTCAAGTGCCTTTTGGGAGAAAGGAAGAAGCTTTTCGTACAGGCTGACAGACGTTCATATCAGCCATTTTGTTTTCCTTTTTAAGCACAATCAAAAACTGATGGTAATCAACCAAACTCCTGTAGTTTGAAGAAGCCGGGTCTCCTACGAAAAGATTAATCTTCTCAACAACCAGGACATTTAGATAGCCACTTGAGAGCTCTTAGTTTCACTCTAATGACTGTATATATTTTTTTTTATCATTTGTACTTTCGCTGCTTATTAGAAGTTTACGACGACCCCCCAGGGATTTATCTATGACAATCAAAAATTTATTTAGATCTGGTTTTGTCATATCAACCAGTAACCTCCACCCAAGTTATATATATTATATGCTATGTTTTTGAACACACACGCACACACATATATATATATATAGAACATATATATATATATATATATATATATATATATGTGT